GTTTCTTAAGACCTGAAGCCTGATTGACCAATTAGAAACCTCAGGGTTTTGCATTTTGAGGGTTTATTTTGGTTTTATTGGGGTTTTTTGGGTGGAAGGTGGGGGATGAAGAACAGCATTTGCCATTTTCCAGCCTCCTGTAATGCCATCTGTCCCCCCTGCAATGGCGGGGGCTCAGACTGCTCTGGCTGACTTGTTCTGGGGTAAATGTCACCAAGCTCAGCCAATGTGCAAACCTCTAATTCGTGGACATCATCTTAATACTTCTGAAGCTAGTTGCACTAGTTAGTTCCCCACTACAATTCATGCATTGTGGAGAATGTAACCATGACATATGCTATACCGTTATCTTTAAGCTCTATGCATGACGAGTTTTTCCTGACAATTTCTCCAAACCTGTACCTTACAGCTGCAGCTGTTTTCTTTCAGGCCAAGAAACATGGAAGCAGCAAGAACTCATACACACAAACATTTGTTTCCATGCTACATGAATATATTGCTCTCATGATGCATATCAGGCAGGCCCTTTAAAAACAACCTAACTTTACTTTAGAGAGGAAAAAAAAGGCAGATTTTCATTTCAGGAAAACACAAACTACAACCTCTCTATACTGATCAAGCATCGTAATTCTGCAGTACCTAAAGAGTTAACAGTTGTAACAAGCCCTGGATAAGCTTTCCATAGGAAGAGCACTTCTTCCTCTTCATTTGAATTGAAGTATAAATTTGTTCTACCGTGAGATATTCCCAGTACATTCACGAACCATGACAAGCTAAGGTCAGTGAATTGTGCAAAGTTTCATTTTCAAGGTTTGCAGGTTTGGTTGTTTTTTTTTTTTAACCTAAAAATAACAGAGTTGGAATTTGTGGTCACGGTCAAACAGTGATAAAATTAAGAACAGATAAAGCCACAAATACAATTTTTTTGGAGACTTGCAAGTTTGGTTTTGTTGAAGGAGGGGAAATAGTGCCATTTAATCAAAAGCATAAAGCATCAAGTGTTTGTTACAGCGAACAGGGAAGACAAGGCTCAAAGAGGTCTGAAATTCAATGCAGAAGACTGCTTTCCTAAGGCGCAACCACAGTGCAGGAGAGAAGGAAACAAAGGAACATAACATTCATTTGCCTAGAAGCATTTGTTACAAAAATACATCACCTGCAATGAGACATGCTTTGCAACTGCAATACACAGTAATACTATTTAGGACAGCAGTATCTGCTAGATGAGTCTCCAACTCAGTCATCACCATCTGACAATGCTCAGGCTCAGCAGTATAACTATACCTTACTGTCCCCCAACTTCAACCAGACCCAGCAAAGCACATCTATGATAACCAAAAAGTCAGCTTGTTATTCAAGAGATAAGAATTTAGCTCTTAGCATAGCTTTCAAACTAAACAACCCTTTGACATGCCAAAGTGCTTGGAGCCTATCCAGCAAGTTCCTGCCAGTTTTATTTTTTTCCTTCCTTCTTCTTCAGAGTGGATTCATAAGTGTTACTCAAGTTGTTTCAGTTCATCAAATGTTTTTAAGGCTATTTTGGAGTATTGAAGAGACTCCACAGATTCTTAAACAACTGAAGAGGATGACATTAAGGTACATACACTAGAGTCAAACAACGTTTATCATTGTTGCATTTGACAAATGCTCCAAATGGTACAGTCAACAGAACGTGAGTGAAAAGAAACCTTTCATCATGTAAAACAATGCTGTTGTGCCACAGCCTGCCTAATGCCCAGTGGGCTTCAGAAGAACCGCCCCTTCAAATACTTCACAGTTTTAAAGTTTTAACATCCGACCATAGAAGTCCTGTAAGAGACCAAGGAAAAAAGATGATGACAGAAGCTCACGTGGCTTTGCAGAGTGGTCATGCTAGGCTGGAGGAAATCCCACTAGGCAGAACAAAAAAAATCACTGCCGAGCACTGGGTGCCTGATCACCCAGGGGTGATGCAAGGGAGAACACAGGAATTGCTCTGGAGACTGCCACCCTGAGAGGGGGCATCTCATGGGAGTAAAGCAAAGCAGGATATGTCAGATGTAGCAGAAGGACTGGGGACTCTGCAGAGCAACGGAGCGAGCAAGCTTACGCTAAATTAGAAAATGACTGCATCTGGCTGCGGTCAACTGGCATTGCCCCGAGAGATCAAGAAGAAACATGACAGTCTGCCCCATTACAAGTCTTACTTTTAAATGCATTATCTTGTCAGGATTAACCTGACATCTATGATTAGCCAGAAGATTTCAGCCTGAGAAAGTTCTTGTTCAAAAAAGACAAGTGATAAACAAGTTTGTACTAAAATAAAACTAGAGCCTGATCACTTGCTGCAATAGCATACAATTTCCTTTTATACAGGGCAAGGAACGGTTGGTAATACTCGGTGACAGCACACAGCTGCTTGCTGAAGGGCACGAAGCTGTATGGAAAAAACAAAAAAATCCAACTCTTGTGAGATATTTTAAGGGGCCTCTGGAGGTGTCTCATCCAGCCTCCTATTTGAAGTGGAGCCATCACCAACGCTAGATCAGGGCCATTGTAGCTTTGTTGAGCTAAGTCCTGAACCCTTTGAGGAACAGAGATCCACCAACTCTCTGATAAACTGTTCCCTGTGCTTTGCCACCCTCCTCGTGAGCAAGTTTTCCCTGAAGCCCTTCCAGAACCCTCCATACTACAATTCTGAGCTGTAGCCCCTTGCTGTATTATCTAGGGCTTGATCCCACAGTCTTGTAACTACCCTCCCAACAGCTGTAGGCTCCCATTAGATCACTCTGCACCTTCTCTCCACAGGCTGAATCGGCCCTGCTCCCTCCAGCTCTCCTCTTAGCTCACATGCTCTAGGACCCCAACCACTCTGGACTCTCTTTGCTCTCTCAGCATCTCTTACACTGGGAGGCCCAAAACAGGACACTATTTTAAGTGAGGCCTCCCTAGTGCCATGCAGAAGAGGTAATAACTTTCCTCAACCTGCTGCTCATGCTCTTCCTAATGTAACCCAGCATGCGTCTTGCCTATTGCACGATGAGCATAGTGTTGGCTCATACTCAGTTTCACATTCAAAGAAGTCAATTTATGATTCACACATAGCGTTTTTTAGTAATGTAAATTGAGAGCTAACCACCCAGAGACTAGAATCCATTAATGTGTATTTTAGCAGTGCCTTTAAAGAGTCACGGTGGATAGAAAGTCAAAACTAGCATGGATAAGCTGAGGATAATACTGAAGGCCCTTAGAAGTTCACGTCAGACTGATATGCATGGGCACAACCGCTCCTTCCAGTCTAAAAACAGTTCATTTGCTTTGAGGTCAGAAAGATGAGACTGCATTAGTGCAGGAAGCCAAACAAAGAAAGTCTCTGCCTGGAGTGCCAGCTTAGTCACTGAGAAGTTTGTCCTAAAGTACCCTACTAAATCCCGTTTCACTCTGCAGACCTCCTCTCACCCATGAAAAGGGTGAGACAAACAAGCAACTGCTATAGAGAGGTTGCTTAACGTGCAAATAGAAGGCACTGAAATTACTGCATTAGAGAGACTGTTATGAGAACCTACACTTATCTTACATGCAAGACCCCTGTCGGAGCCTTCTAAATTTTCTAGTTAATATATAACATGTTGTATGTTATTTTATATCTTGGAAGGAGACTTTAGAGTCATGTTTTCTTCAAACCCTGCAGTCAATACACAGAAAACGTGAGTATGAATTCATCACTGCATGGACAGTATCAAAAAGCTACTGTACAATACAATTTAGGCAGGACAGGAACCTCAGACAATAGCAATAACGATGACAGTCATGTGGATTTCAATGCTTAAGAGTAACAAAAATCAAGACAGAAAAGAGAACAGGTGAGCCCAAATTTGGATGGCAAACAGGGAAGATAGCTACACAGCAAAGGTTACCAAAAAAAAAAAAAAAAACTTGTGTCATTTCAAACTGCAACAAGAGACACTCCCAATATGAAGACAAGCGATCACCTGTGCTGGCATTGGTCTCTGCCAGTCAACATTTAGAAGAAATAGTCCACAAGAGTTGCCACTGCCTTGGAGATTTGTCACTGAGGTTATCAGAGCAATCCCGTTTTCACCCAGACCTTTCCCCTTTGAGAGTCAGCCAGCTGACTGAAAACCAGCAATAGAATCAGAAGTTACTGAGCAATTTATTAACTAGTAGAGCAAGTACCAAACATTACAAATTAAATAATCATTGATTTAGAAGGTACTTTACCTGTAAAGGACCTCAAACTAGGTTAAAAAAAGTTCTTCAAATATTGTCATTCAGATCTTGTGATGCTGGAGGGTGCCTTTTAAATACACTATGCACTAAACCATTCCATGGGTCTCCATGTGCTCACAATACAAACTAATATTCAATCTACTGTATAAACAGAATCCAGGAAGAGTAGTGGAGAGGATGTTTTGTAGGCACTCTGGTTCCCAATTTTCTGGCAAGTCTCCATCTGCATTAGTGATTCCCAATTGTTAACTCCTTAGCCCTCCCAGCCTTGGCACCCCTTACAACTTTTACATTTTCTCACCTCAGGAACTCCTTGTTTACATACATTGCTGCTGCTCAACTGCACAGACCATAGGAAGAGACTTGCTTGTGAAGGAACCGCAATTGTTTTGGAAGTTCCAGCCCTTCAGCTAAGAAGTGAGACCTTATCAGATGGGTGCTTCTCAGCCACTTCAGGCCAAGCAAATGAGGTTTTCTTACTGAGAGAGGTTGAAACCAACAATGCAGGAGAGCAACAAAGAGCCACTGAGCAGGCTTCCTATCGTTACTAACCGTTTTGTATGGTCAGCTTTTCAATACTAGGGATTTGGAGTTACCTGGACAGCAGTTGGGTTTTGTCCCCAGCAAGCTGGGCTGATGGAAGGAACACACTCTTTTGGTTCCTCACACAAAGAAAATTCTCAAGATTTGATTGAGCACTGATGTAACAGATGCAGCCCTTCAGAATGAAAGCAGCAAAAAGCCAGGCAGCTTATTTAACCCTGCAGTACCTGACTGGAAGACGTATCTCGCTAAGCCTTGCATTAATTCTGCTGGCCAGGTAGGTGGTGCCGACTCCCCCGTTTCTCTCTTTAGCCGAAACGTCAGCTCAAATCCAAAACCACTTGGTCCATCTGTTCCTGTAAACCTGGAGGGAATGAAAAATGAAAAGTCACAACATACTCCTTGTAACCAGAGCAGGCTGCAAGATTAGGACCATGGAAAAAGGATGAGCGTTGTCCTCAGAGAAAAGATAAGTTTAGAAATTCTCTTATTTCAGTCTACTCTAGCTCGAATGGCTTAACATTGTTAGGTTTGTTGATGTAATACAATTTCAATGACTACTACCACAGTAGTGTTTTCAGACAGAATAACAGAGTCTTGGAACCATGACTTCTTTCCTGGGACCAGTGGGATTTTCAGCATCCTGAATTTGTTTTTAAAACATCGTTGTAAGTTCTGCACCGATAGTTGCCCTGATTATATTTGCTTAAATGGGAACACCAAAGTGCACAACAGAAAATAATGTTATTCCACCCTTGTGAATTCAAATTTCTACACATTGAGAAGTGGGATGCAACTAAAGTACTGGGTAGTAGTTTCTGGGTTGAAGCAGTTGAGGTTTTGATGTACAGCACATAATTTCTGTGTTGTGGATGGTCACGGGGGGAGGAGGGAAACAAGAAGATGCAGGCAGAAAGTTAATAATCTCTCACACAGTGCACTAATTCTTATTTTGCTCCACTATATGCTTGTGCACATTCTTGTTGTGTATCTAGGAGTACGACATTGGAAAAGCACTGAATGACAACTACTGCTCAAAAAGCAGTAGTTTGGCCATTTCCCCATTTGACAGAGATAGGTGCCAATTTATCTGGTTTGGTCAGATAGGGTCTACCCAGCAGAAAAAAGTCATATTAGAAGTATCAAGGCTGTAAGAAAAAGGAACAAATAAAGGATATCCCCATACTAGTCTTTGCTTCCACAAAACCAGTTCTTGAGAATCCTGTATTTTATACTTATACATACGGGAAAGTTCCTATTCCAAGTCCCCAACAACTAACCCCCATTTGCCTGTGAAAAAATGAGAAACCTCATGGAAAAATACATAAGCTCACAAACTTGAAAGCAAGCTGGGGACATCCATATCCTTTCTGCCCCTGTCTTCACATCCCTCACTTGTTTGCTGTGTCTGTTCCACAAAGGCAGAGGAAAGAAAGAAGGAAAGATTTACACTGAGCATAAAGACACCCCACAGAAGCTTTCATAAACCAGTATCATTCTGCAAATGCCAATCTCCAACACCTGCAGCCACTGGCAAATTCTCTGGAGGAATTTTGCAAATGTCTTGGATGCTGGTACCTTGCTGGCACATACGAAAGGTACAGTGCACAACATGTTAACATTGTACTACTTCTAAAAACAGTCAAACAGAGCAGTCAGGAAAGTGATGAGAGCACTTCCCATTTGAAAAACACAGCTGACCAGCAGTGGGTGACCAGTTCCAAGCGCTGGATGGTTTGTTCCCATAGTAAGGAGCCTGGTTTGAAGCAGAAATGCTTTACAGCGACCCTGCCTAATGACAAGTGCTAAAAGTGATCAAACTTAAGCATTGACGCAACTCCATCATGCAATGTAACTTTATTTGAGGATTCTTCAAGGAAAGTTTGATTGTGGTAGACTTTCAAATGATGTAACAAAAGTAGTTAAGAAATGTACCCAAGGACAGAAATAAACTATGGGACAGCTCAACAGCTGTGAGTGAAAACAAGAGAGCAGGTATTAATAATATATCAAAAAAGACTTTATTTCATTAGTATGAAAATATACAAGCATGTCCATTTTTGTTTCCCTCCATACTATCCTCAACAAAGAATTTGAGAATTATATACTACCGAAGCAAATTCTCTATGAACAGAGCAGATAATGCATTTCAGAATGGTCAACTGGTAAATATGAAACCTCTTTCAGGAAACAAGTGTACCTTTAAGCAACAAGTCAAATAATTACATTTGGTTCTTAAACAAAGCAAGAGCTTACTGAATAACCAGCCAACAAGCAGAATCTGGATGTGCAGCGAAACCTACATTCTGCAATCATGCATGCAGGTCCACCAAAAAGATTGGTACAGGATGGCGATAGCCTCACAAATGTGAAGTTGTACTTTGTACATTCAGCACCCCTGTCGTGTTTTATTAGTTTCACATATCAGATAGCAAAGGAAAACCAGAAATATTTCTTAAAGGGAGAAAGAAAAACGCTTCAAAGTGGTAGTTTTCAAGGATTCATTCCAGGAAAAAGCATACACCAGAAACTGAAACACATTATGAACGGGTCAATTTTAAGAAGGATCAAAGTTAACAAAAAGCCTTCAAGCGATCTTTCACAGTTAAAATTTTTGGAAAGTAAGATGGCTCCCTATTGAATTTCCTCCTTTTAAGGCATGTTCTGAAACAACACAGCTTTACTTCTACTATGCATCGAACTAGAGTTTAGTGGTTTGGTTTTTTGTTTTGTTTTGGTTTTTTTTTTTTTAACTCCACAGATCTCTCTGCTTCCCAGAAATAACTGTGTAAATAAAAGGCGACCACACATGCTTTATATTGATCCATACGCAAGTTACTGAGTAAACAGAAGTGTTCAGGTGAGTATCTATCAAATTTAAAGCCAGATGAGCATTTAGGAGAATATTGCTGGTCAGCAACTCATCAGTAGTCGCAAAGCAGTAAAACTAACAGGCAATGTTATGTGATTTTTTTGTATGGTAATGAGAGACTCTAAAACAGAGAAGAACTACTAGAAAATAAATAGAATAAAAGCTAAGGAAGCAAGCAGTAAGTTACTTCCCTTCTAAGATTTAAAAAAATCCCTGAAGAATCAAAAGATGTATCTTCTAAAAAACACTCAAAAAAAATGCAGCAGCACACAGTGCTTATAATTTTCAAATTCTTAAATTAAGAGTTAAATCTTAGAAAGATCCTATTTGCATGTAAGAGATTTGTATTTAAAGATTACATTTAAAATGTTTTTGAATAGTTAATGGTCACAGGTTGCTGAAAATACACTGCTTTGTTACAGCAAAATTTTAAACACATGCAATTCACCTGTATTATGCAGCTGTTCTGAGGTAACGGTCTATAAAGTAAAAGTCTTTGATCTGTTTAATTTTAGGTTGGTAATTTGTTTTTGAAGAAATTGTGACACGTGGCTTTAAAAGCTTGTGATTATTTTAGAAATCCTTTACATTTAATTCAGACCAGTCTTTCATAGGAAGAAATACTAATATTCAGAATGTAATTAGGATAGTAATTTTCAGTTAGCATTTTTGCCAAAGCTTTTGCTTTTATTCTTCAAAAAGTCTTGTATTTGAAAGAAAGTTGAATGTAGTTTCAACAGCTGCCATAAAATTTCTCTCAATGAACATGGTCTCTCAACAGACCATAATCCAGGACCAGAGCTGCTGGCCAAGGTTTGCAGGATGTACATGAGAATGGAGGCAGATGTGAGCTTCAGGAACTAAATAAATTTATAACCCTGCCACATGCCTCTGACCCTTGGTCTAACAAAAATCACAGAGAAGAATCCAGTAGCTGAGTTACACAGCTTGGCTTCTCTTATGGAAGTCCTTTTCACTAGGGAGCGAGCACTTACACTAGCTCCGACTCCAAAATTTGTGAGGATAAGGATGCATCAGTCCACTGGCGGAGAGGCAAGTAGCAGCCACAGTCAACAAACGCATGGGAAATGAATTTGCCTGGTAAGAAGTCCAAGACTTCCAGATACACGTGCCGTACAAATGGAAGACCAAGCAAATGGCTTTTTATCCCCCCCAAGGATAAAGAGACTCCTCCCTTATATCTGGGCTATAAGCAGCTGCTCATTCCCACAATCACCTGTTTCCATTTTTGTTCAAGGCCTTACCAACAAGACAAAAGATGCACCCATCATGACCAAGAAAACCATTCACGATGGGGGAGCTAATAAAGTGATATTCCCCATAAACAAGTTAATTTATACCAAAATGTTCCATTACTTCCACTTGGAAACACTAGATTCCCACAGCAGCCTCCTCCTTGTAGGGTTATGTCCCCACTGCTTGGGGGTTATCTTAGGAGGCTGCTGAGGAACTGGACAAAAAGGATCACACGTTGCAGGCTTGTGGATGTCCAAACTCATGCTCCTTCCCACAAGCTCCCAATTTTCACCAAACTTCCAGAAAACTTCCAGAAAAGTCAACCGCTTTCAGCCAGCCATGGTCAACCAACAAGCTAAAAAAAAAAAAAAATATATATATATAGTTCCAGAAGAGACAGACTGAACAAGCCTCATTTCCATAGAAAACTGTGTGGAGGGGTGAGGATAACCCATAGATGGAAGAAGTCCTGCTAAAGCACACAGAAGACAGGTTTGCTCATGTCCTCTTCCATCAACCCCCCAAGTTCACTGCTACCTGCACCTGTACTAACTTGTTCCCTTCCAAGCTGGCAGCAAAGCATTCGCAGCAGGTTAGCCTGACCCTGACTCCTGTGTCAACTGCGGAGGTAACACGTTTTTATTACACACTTCTTCTACAGAAGCAAGATTCAGGCGCTATTTTGGGTTGGCTTCTCTGTGAGTAAGGGAGGTGGGGACTGGGGTGGTGGTTTGGGGGTTTTTTGGGGGTTTGGTGTTTTGGGGTTTTTTTGGGTTGTGGTTTGGTTGGGTGTTTTTTTGGTTGGTTGGTTGGTTTGGGGTTTTTTTACATCTAAAGATGACCAATTCAAACTACAGCCAACCGAGAATGAAGGCTTTGGAGCTCAGGTCAGCATCTCAACACTAAGTGCTTTGCAGGTCATTTCTTCAGCAAAACAATTACAATAAAGCACTCCAAAAAAAGTGCCTCAGCTTTACAATAAGACGATGATCTGAGATGGACCATGTACAGGAAGGAAACCTCAAAGTTGGTATTTTCTATCTGTGCATGGCCTCAGGTACATAAACTGAAAGCTGCAACACAGCATTAAGTTTCTGTACTAACAGATCTGAATATTTCACATAGTTTGGTTTACGCCTTGGTTCTGCTGAATCCTGCAGTTTTGAGTGAAAGTTTCTTTTAAATATCCCTAAAATGCTGAGGGGAAAAAAAACCAAAACCAAACAAAAAAAAAA